CCGTTCGGGCCTCAGCCCGCACCTCAGCAGTTCGAGCGTGTGCAGGCCCAGCTGGATGCAGCCTTCGTCAGGGCACGGCGTGGAGACGACGTTGCCATGACTTCCAAGTTGTCTAGCGAGGCGTACGCCTCCTGGGCAGGCTTGGCGGAGCGGGAGCTGGCCAGGACCTTGGGGGTGGAATTGCTTGCCTGGGGGTCGAGGGGTAAGGGGCCCATCACCCACTGGAGGCCCATCCTTCGGAAAGATAAATTTTGTGCCAGGTACTCCCAGCTCCACGCGAGCCGTTGGCTTGCCAGTCACTTCAAGCGTTTCCAGGGGGCTGTTCTGCGTGCGGATTGGCCTCCGGCTCGAGAAGCGGCCCGTGTTCTTGCGTCGCCCCCCTCGAGTTTGTGTAAGCCCCTTCCTGGAGCCCAGCCTTCTGGATCTGAAGTTTCGGGTCCCGAGGTCCCTAACTTCCCTGGGTTCCCTGATATGCTGGAAATAAGGTCTGTCAGCTTGCCTCGGATTGCCTCGAACGTAGCCTTTCGGAGGACACGCTCCAGGTCCGAGCTGAGAATCTGGGGGACGCGGTTGGCGAGTACGCTGCGCAGTGCTCAACTTTGTATGCTTCGCAGGCTCGTAAGGACTGGGCGGACTGGCTTACGGAGTCGGTGGACCAAGGAGGAAGGAGGGCTCACGCGTTCACCAAGGACCCACAGGCCTGGAAGGCCAGCGCGACCCTCAGCGCCAACGCCTGCGTGGTGTCCGACCCGCAGCCCCTGTTGGCGGACGAGGCCCAGAGGTTCCGCGGCTTGTGGGGAGCTTTAGACGCGCCCGTCAAGCAGGCTGGGAAGATCAATGAACCCCTCCCCCCCTGTGCCCATTGAAGAAATCCGTAAGTTCTCCAAAACCTTTGCTCATAGGTCCGCTGTGGGCCTGGACGGCTCTCATATGCGCCACTTTGCGCTCCTGTCGGGCGGGGCCTTGGCGGCCCCCTCTCGGTTTTTCACGTTGACGGAAATAACGGGGTCCCTTCCCTCCCAGTTGCGGGCCGTCATCATCGCGATGCTGCCTAAACCGTCTTCGGGATCTTGTCCGATAGGAGCGTTTCCCAGCCTCGCCGTCTCTGGGGCAAGTGCCGTCACCATCTTGCGGCGCAGTGGGAGACGGCCAACCAGCGTGCTTTTTGGGCGGCAGGCCAGTGCAAGTCGGCGAGCGACGTCGCCTGGAGGCAGACTGCTCGATCGGAGAGGTCTCGCAGTCAGTCTCAGCATGCCTGCACGTTGCTGCGGGACTTCCTTATGTATTATGAGCGGATGTCCCGGGAGGCTTTGGCTTTGAGGTGTAGACAGCACAACTTTCCTGACCCCATTTCCTCGGTTTGTTTGGCGGGGTACAGGTCCGCAAGGTTCGTTGTGTTGGGAGGGGTCGTGGCTTGTCCCATGTATGCCCGCGTGGGCATCATCGCGGGGTGTAGTTTCGCCACGACCCTGATCCGAGCTTTTGCTTTAGACGCTTTCGACAGGCTGGTCATCCCTCGGAGTGTGACTTTCGACGCGTGCATCGACGATATGGGGCTCAACGCGACGGGTTCGATTGAAGCGATTAGTCGAGACCTCGCCGACGCGGCTAGTCAACTGCATATCGTTATTTCGGATTGTCTGCATGCGAACGTTTCCCTTGAAAAGGTCGGTCTCATTTCGTCTTCCAGGGAAATCTCCAGACACATCCAGAGACGGTTGGGGCCGTTTGGAGGAGCTCACGCGCATGCCGCCATCAACCTCGGCATCGACGACAGTAGGAGGCGGTCGCCGCGTTCGGGAGCGCAACGTTCGCGCAAAGGCGAGGCTGGCGAAGGCGGGGCGACGAGTCGGGCGGCTTGTCCGCCAGCGAGCTGTTCTAGGACGCAGGGCTATTAAACTCTGCGTTGCTGGGCCCCTGCCAGGCATCACTTATGGCAGCGAGGTGCACGGCTGCAGCGACGGCGAACTTTTGAAGATTCGGCGGCTCTGTGCTGCTAAGATGAAGCCGGCCGTCGGCGGCCGCAGTCTTACGATTTTGCCCAGGATAGAAGGGGGCCCCGCGTGGTTCGGGGCGGTCTCTCCCATCATCCGATGGTCTAAAGAGGTTTGGGCCAGGCGCACTCGGGCTACCGAATTTTGCTTTTCCCGGAACGAGCTTCGGGACCTTTGGAATGCGAGCTGTCCGATCTCCTGGACGTGGCGTTTGGTTTCGGGGCCCATTGGAGCCCTCGAGTTGTCCCTCCAAAGGATCAGCTGGTCTATGCCCTCGCTTTTCTTTTTGATCAGCGACCTGGGTGCCCACCGCTCCCTCGCCCCCACCCCTCCTGCGCTCCTCAAAATCCTTCTCAGGGGAGGGGTGTGGAGAAGTCTCGAGCGGGAAGCGGCTTCGAAGTGCGGAAGCGACGGGGTGCATCGATTGTGCGTTGACGTCGTCATTGCTGCCACTCGGTCTAGGAAGTTTCCAGCCAGGCAGAAGGGGGTGATACGGTGCCTGGCCTGCCGAGGTCTCCGGCCCCTCTCTAGGGCCCGCGAGGCGGGCTACGACATCGGCGACGTCTGCTCGCTGTGCAATGCCCCTGGGGACACGCTGTGCCACGGGCATTGGGCGTGCCCAGCTGCCGCCGAAGAACGTGCCGCCATCGTGCCTCAGCCATTCTCGGACAGCATCCGTGACAATGTCGAGCGGAACGGGGGGCAAGCGCCGTTTGAGATCGTTTCGGGGCTGTTCCAGCATCCAGCGGAGGCGCCCCCCCCCCCCCCCCCCCGATAGCCGACGAGGGGGGCGAAGACGACGGCATCCGTTTCCGACATTTCCCTGACGGCTTCGAGGCCGAAGACATGGAGCTCCCCCCAGAAGGTTCTCGGAACCTGTGGGGCCACATTTTTCTTGACGGATCTTGCGCGCGCAGGGTCGTGCGAGAATCGAATCGTGCTGGGTGGGGGATGGCCATGCTCGGCCCCCGAGGCAACTTGCTCGCCTCGGCCTGGGGCCCTGTGTGGAACAGCTGCCCGCAGACTCCACAGGCGGGAGAGTTTGCGGCCTACGCGATGGCGGGTGCCCCGGTTTCGGCGCCGACGCAGGTCTACTCCGACTGTGCCAATGTAGTCAGCATGCACGGCATGCATGACTTGCAGCGTCTCTCACCCAAGCGACCTTATGCGGGGCTCGCGTTGCAGGGGCGGACTCTTGGGGGTCAAATGTTGCTTGGGTGCGAGAAGGTGCGTGCGCACCTGGCTCCTTGATTGCCCAGACATCGACGAGGCCGAGCGTTTTCGGCGAGTCGGCAACGATGCGGCTGACCGTGCTGCGAAGCTCGGTGCCGCAATGCATTCCTTGCCCTCGGACGTTCTGTCCTTTGCTGTTGGCCGTTCGCTCGAGTGTGCCCACTGCGTGGTGCGTTTGGCGGCGGCTGTGCTACCGCTCTGGCCCCGAACGGACTTGTCGGGGGTGGAGTGGAAGTCGCCCGTGGCGAAAGTCCCGAGAGAGGCCCCCGCTCCCCATCAGTGGGAATGGAGGGGCCCGCCCGCTGGTTCCCAGCGTTTTAGGCAGTGCTCTGTTCGCCTGCGCACGGCCAGGAGTGCTAGCAATGCCTCGCCTTCTCCTGGCCGGTGCTGCGGAGTGCCCAGAATCAATGTGCAGTCACCTTGTGATTTCCAGCACAGATGCGTAATTTTCGACTGCTCGAATGATTTGTTGCTGGTCGTGTGTACCATGTGTAAGGGCTATACTTCAGGTGGCCGTCTCGCCAAGCTCGGCAGTCTGTGCACGGGACCGCCGAAAGATAGCAAGACGGGCCTCGACAAGAAATATAATCCGCATAGCTGGAATCAGACTTGCAAGGGCTTCCACCCCAAGGAGAATGGAGTGACCCTGCTCCAAGACACTTTCAGTGTGCTTTAAGCATGCAGTGCGGCGGTTGTGCCCCAAAAAAATCCTCCTCCTCCTCCTCCTCCTCCTCCTCCTCCTCCTCCTCCTCCTCCTCCTCCTCCTCCTCCTCCTCCTGTCCTTCCTCGTCGTCCTCCTCCTCCTCCTCCTCCTCCTCCTGTCCTTCCTCCCCCTCCCCCTCCTCCTGCGCCTCCAGGCCCGCCGGCTCATCCCGCCTTCCTGCGCCGCGCCCTCCGGCCGCCCACCGGGGGGGGCGGCAGGCGCGCCGGAGCGGGGGGGGAGGGCGGGCCTCGGAAGAGTCGTCGCGCCGACGCCGTCTCTACTCCAAATCCCTTCTTATTCGACCCCCCCAAAAAACCGGACCCCCCTCCAAATGCGACCTGATATTCCGGACCCCCCTCTTCGACGGGGCGCCTTCATAAACCGGACCCCGTGCGCTCCAATGCAAAATCCAAAGGAAGCGCCCTGCTGATAAACCGGGCCTCCCCAGTTACAAAAAAGGCGCCTTAAACATTGGACCCGGGGGACGCTTAATAAGGGATTCGGAGTAGGCATCCTGCACGTTGCCCCTCCCCTCTCTCCCACTTCCCTAGATCGCCCTCCCCCCGTCCCTCTTTCCATCCCTCCCTTTCGGGTGCAATTCTTGGGAGGTCAAATTCCGATTTTGCCCTGGTGCGACATCCAGCTTACTCCGGCTTGATCCCGCTAGATCCGGCTGAATCCCGCTCAATCCGGCCTAATCCGAGACCGTTTCCGGCGCAACGGCCCCCCGATGGGGCTTCATCCGTCTCAACCTTTCCGACCAGGGCCTCCCAGTAGTTGCCCCCGAACTCAAGGGAGGAAAAACCACCCGGACCAGACAATTGGCGTTTACTAAACGGCCTTGGGCGTTTACTGAACAGCCTTGCCCTGTTCGATTCCTTTTTTGGGCGCGTTTACTAACGGCCTCGCGTGTCGGGGTGGTTTTTGTCATGGTCGGGGTGGATTTGTTGCCCTCCACTAACTCCCCCTTCCCTCATCCCTCCCTCTCGCCCTCCCCGAGATCCGCGAGCGCCTGGCGAGGGAGGCGCCCCGGGCAGCGGCCGCTCCCCCCCCCCCCCCGGCCGGCCCAGGGCGCTGCGGCGCCCGACGCGCCGGAGTGGTGCAAGAGCAGCGAGGAGCTGACCGTCGAGCAGCGAAAGGACACCGCGCGAGAAGGGAGGAGGAGGGAAGAGGAGGAGGAGGAGGAGGAGAAGGAGGAGGAGGAGGAGGAGGAGGAGGAGGAGGAGGAGGAGGTAGGAATCCACGGTAGGAGGCAGAGATGAGAGGGAGAAGGAGGGAGGGAGGGAGGAGGGAGTGCGGGGGGGGGGGAGGGAGGAGGGGGAGGAGGAGGAGAGGAGGAGGGAGGAGGAGGAGGAGAGGAGGAGGAGGAGGAGGGAGGAGGAAAGAAGAAGAGGAGGAGGAACAGGAGGAGCAGGAGCTGGAGGACGGGACAGGAGGAAGAGGACGACAGGCGGGCGCCCGTCCCTAGCCACACCAGGAGCAGGCCACGGCGGAGGCGAAGGCCGCGTGGGCCAAGAAGGAGGTCGCGTCACTGGTTGCGAAGGGCGAGCCCGTCCCCAGCTGGTTGGCCGACACGGTCACCAAGGACGCGCGGAGGTTCCGAGCGGGTCGGGCGATCGCTCGACTTGGTGAGCGAAGGAGTATTTGGACCCCTTTGGCATGTGCGTGTGCGTGCGTGTGTGTGTGTGTGTGCTCTGTCATGTGGTTCTTGCCCGTTGCAAGGCTGCTGGCGTTGCTTTGTCGTGCAGCTCCTTGCACGTATGCACCGCCACCAAGTCGGCTGGTCTGGCAGCCTTGCAGCTCTTGTTCGTTGCCCCTTGAAGCCTTCATTCGCACCAGACTGCTGGTTAGGCTTCAAACTTCCTGCGTCGAGCTTTCGCTCCGTGGGTTCTTTCGCCGCTGCACTTCGCCTCTCCCTTTGCACCACCAATTGCATGGCCATGGCTGGATTATTTCATCATGGCGCGTTCGACTGAGTTCGTCCGCGATTGGCACCTCCACATGCCGACCGCGCCTGAGGCACCTCTGCGCCGCCGACTTAAAAAGTGTTTGCTCTCGCTGTGGTGGCACCCCTCAGATGGAAAGGAGGCGGAACAGTGCCTGTCTGTCGGTCGGTCTGCCGCCCGCCTCGCTGCCTCTGCGCTGGCGCGCGGGTCTGCTTCCTGCAGGCGTACTCGGGGCTCAAGGGACGAGGGTCGGTGCAAACGGGGGTCAATCAGAGCGCCGGGCTTGGGCGCAGGATCTGGCAGGATTGTGCAGGATCTTGCAAGGCCTGGCCGGCCCGGGCTTGGTGGATTGACCAGGGTCAGATCCCCGACGTCTATGTCCGCTCTCGCACGCGGTGCACCGCTGCGCGCCGCCAATCTTACACAACCCAGCTCTCGCGCACCCGTCACTTGCGCGCGTGCGCTCTTCTGCCGCTCCTCTGCTCGCGTGCTGCTCCCACCTGCGACCGACGCGCCTCTTCGGGCACGACCGGGTGCGTTTTACCCAGCCTGGCCTCGTTGTGTGAGCAGATTGGTTTCGTCTGTGACGTGCCACTTGTTCCTCGCGACTGTGGTGTAACATCGCCAGTGAAGAAACAAGACCATATGTGTTTGTGTGTGCGTGTGTGCGTGTGTGCGCGTGCGTGTGCGTGTGTGCGTGTGTGCGTGTGTGTGTGTGTGGGTGGGGGGGGGTGCGTGTGTGTGTGTGTGTGTGTGTGTGTGTGTGTGCGTGGGTGTGTGTGTGTGTGCGTGTGTGCGTGTGTGCGCGTTTGCGTGTCTGCGTGTGTGCGTGTCTGCGTGTCTGCGTGTCTGCGTGTCTGCGTGTGCGTGCTTGTGTGTTTGTGTGCTTGTGTACGTTGGTGCGTAGGTGCTTGGGCGTGCGTGTGTGTGCGTGCGTGTGCGTATGCGTGCGTGCGTGCGTGCGTGTGTGCGTGTGTGCGTGTGTGCGTGTGTGCGTGCGTGGGTGCGTGCGTGCGTGTGTGTGTGTGTGTGTGTGTCTGTGTGTCTGTGTGTGCGTGTGTGCGTGAATCCGTGTGTATGCGCGTGCGTGTGTGAGTGCGTGTGTGTGTGTGTGTGCGTGGGTGCGTGGGTGCGTGTGTGCGTGTGCGTGTGCGTGTGCGTGTGCGTGTGCGTGTGTGACTGTGACTGTGTCTGTGTTTGTGTCTGTGTCCGAGTCTGTGTTTGTTTGTGTCTGTGTCCATGTCCGTGTCCGTGTCTGTGTCTGTGTCTGTGTGTGCCGATACCCTCTCCACTCCAAAAGTAGTCAAGGTGATTAATCTGGTTTTTTTTCTCCCCTGAAGATGGCGGGGGAGTGACCCGCACCCCTCCGCTCAATTTCATTAGTTTCGATGCCCCATGGTTTTTCAAACGGAGCGTTTCCGGTGTCTCAAAGAGGCGGTGTTGCCGCTGCATCGTGGACTTCATTTTTATGCTCGGTGCTTTGTTCGCCCCAGCGCGGACCACTTTTCTGGATCCGAGTGTTTTCTGGTCGTTGTCGCCCCGCTCCTTTCCTCTCCCCCGCCTTCCCCTGGTCATCCTGCTCCTCTCGCTGCTCCCACTCCAGCTTTTGGTACTGCTGTTTCTCGTCGCCCTCCTCCGTCGTCATCCTCCACTTCCTCCTGCTCATCGTCCGGCTCATCCGCCACCTCCTCCAATGTACGCAGCTCCCAGTTTCCGATTGCGCATGACAGGATGGGGTCATTTTTGGAATTCTAGGTCCGCTATGGCTCGCGGTCCGCTGTAGCTCGCGTTGGCGGGTAGAGAAAATGCTACACAACGGGAAGGGATGGGTGGGAAGGGGAGCATGTCAGATATGGCGCGAGCGCACCCACCTTATCCTTCCCTTTCTTCTATCTTCTCGTCATGCTTCCCTCTCCCCCCCAAACCTCCCGCCCACAATGTTCAGAGTTCCCCTCTGGCGCGTTGTGGAGATCTGGTGCGCAGTGCGATTGGGGATTGCCTCCCGACCTCTGGTTGCCAGACCCTTTTTCAGGCAGGCCTACAGTCAAAATCGGCCGTAAAGACGAGCCTTGGAAGCAAGGAACTTTTGCATCCCTCGATCTTGGGCATTGTTTGCGCCCTTGCTGCTCCATCGGCCCAAGTGCACCCTGACATATTGGCGCGTTCCACGTGCTCTGCATCATCATGCTCTATCCGTACGGTAGGTTTGCGTCGTGTCGACCAGCGGCGACCCCAGCGCGGGCGTTCAAGGTTGAACGCCGCCGGCGACCCAGAATCGATCGATGTTGAACGATCGGACGTTGCGGCAGCGGCCGATCGTTCAAGGTTGAACGATCCCCGCGGTGTCAGAAACCAACGCTGGGGTCGGCACGACACGAACCTGCCGTATGCCTGGTTCGGATTCCAGTATGGCGGTGCATCGCCCCAGAGTGTTCCAGGACGCTCCCCGGTGCATTCCCGAGCGCCCTGCAGCGGCCGCAGCGCCCGGCATGTCCTCCACGCCCGCCCGCTCCCACCCTCGTCCGCGCTCGCCCTCGCCCTCGCCCTCGCGCCTGGCCGCCTGGCGGGCGCCCCAGGACGAGAGGCAGAACGCGACGAACTGGGCCGTCCGCCAGGCGATGCTCCTGAAGGAGGCGGACCTGGAGGTTCGGATGCAACTCCTGGGAGGTCAAATTCTGTTTTTGCCCTGGTCCGAAATCTGGCTTGATCCCGCTTGCTCCGGCTTGATCCCGCTTAATCCCGCTTAATTCTGTTTAGTCCGAGGCCCACTTCTGCGTAAGAGCCCCCCAAATGGGGCTCAATCCCCCTTAACCTTTCCGACGAACACCTCCCAGTAGTTGCCTCCTAATGGAGGTGCCCGACTGGCTCAAAGAGAAGGTGCAGGAGACGCGCGCGCCCCCGGGGCGGGGCGCGGGCTCGAGCAGGCAGGCTCGGCCCGCGGGCGAGGCGGGGGTGAGGGGGGAGGAGGAGGAGGGGGGAGGGGGTAGGAGGAGGAGGAGGAGGAGGAGGAGGAGGAGGAGGAGGAGGAGGAGGAGGAGGAGGAGGAGGAGGAGGAGGAGGAGGAGGGGGGGGGAGGAAGAGGGAGGAGGAGGAGGAGGAGGAGGAGCAGCAGGAGGAGCAAGATGAGCAGCAGGAGAAAGAGGAGGAGGAGGAGGAGGAGGAGGAGGAGGAGGAGGAGGGGGAGGGGGATGGAGACAAGCTAGGTGCGCTCGCGTCATATCTGGCATCCGACCCCTCCCTCCCATCCCTTACCATGGCGTATATCCCCTCTCTACTCGCACAGTCGGATGTTGAGCAGGGCAATGATCCCGAAAGGGTACGCGATGCATTGTAGAGCACGGCGTGGCATGGCGTAGAAGAGCACCGCAAAGCGTAGTATGTCACAGCATGGCGTGGCGTGGCGTAGTGAAGAATTGCATCACAAAGCTTTGCAACGCAAAGCATGGCATCGCACAGCGGCCCCGAACGTAACATTGCATAGCATGGCGTTGAAGATCAAAGCGTATCATGGCATAACATGACGTGGCATTTACGCATTGGATATGACAGTTGCAGCTGAAGGCATGGCATCGCCCAGCGGAACGCAACCCAGCATTGCATTGCATGCCGTGGCATGGCAGGGAAATGACGCCAGCGCTGCAGCGGGATCACGATTTGGAACGAGCGGGAGCGCGGAAATGAGGCCAGCGCTTCAGCGGGAGCACGATTCGGAACGAGCGGAAGCATGGAAATAAGGCCAGCGCTGCAGCGGGAGCACGATTCGGAACGAGCGGAAGCCCGAAAATGAAGCCCGCGCCTCAGCGAGAGCATCAGTTTGAAAAAACACCACGCGAAAACCCAACTCCGGGAAATCCTGTGTGTAAAAACAGTACGCGGAGGGGTGCCCGCTATCTTCCGCACGCCATCAGGGGATGGAGGAGAGTAGTACTCATATTGTGTAGTTGTGGAGGACGAGGGGGAGGAGGAGGAGGAGGAGGAGGAGGAGGAGGAGGAGGAGGAGGAGGAGGAGGAGGAGGAGGAGGAGGAGGAGGGGAGGAGGAGGGGGAGGAGGAGGGGGGGAGGGGAAGGAGACAAGCTAGGTGCGCTCGCGTCATATCTGGCATCCGACCCCTCCCTCCCATCCCTCACCATGGCGTAGATCCCCTCTCTACTCGCACAGTCGGATGTTGAACAGGGCAATGATCCCGAAAGGGTACGCGATGCATTGTAGAGCACGGCGTGGCATGGCGTAGAAGAGCACCGCAAAGCGTAGTATGTCACAGCATGGCGTGGCGTGGCGTAGTGAAGAATTGCATCACAAAGCTTTGCAACGCAAAGCATGGCATCGCACAGCGGCCCCGAACGTAACATTGCATAGCATGGCGTTGAAGATCAAAGCGTATCATGGCATAACATGACGTGGCATTTACGCATTGGATATGACAGTTGCAGCTGAAGGCATGGCATCGCGCAGCGGAACGCAACCCAGCATTGCATTGCATGCCGTGGCATGGCAGGGAAATGACGCCAGCGCTGCAGCGGGAGCACGATTCGGAACGAGCGGGAGCGCGCGGAAATGAGGCCAGCGCTTCAGCGGGAGCACGATTCGGAACGAGCGGAAGCATGGAAATAAGGCCAGCGCTGCACCGGGAGCACGATTCGGAACGAGCGGAAGCCCGAAAATGAAGCCCGCGCCTCAGCGAGAGCATCAGTTTGAAAAAAAAACAAGCGAACACCAAACTCGGGGAAATCCTGCGTGCAAAAAAACAGTACGCGGAGGGGTGCCCGCTATCTTCCGCACGCCGTCAGGGGATGGAGGAGAGTAGTATTCATATTGTGTAGTTGTGGAGGAGGAGGAGGGGGAGGAGGAAGAGGAGGAGGCGGAGGCGGAGGAGGAGGAGGAGGAGGAGGAGGAGGAGGGAGAGGAGGAGGAAGGGATGGGGACGCGGAGGGGCGGGCTGCCGGCGAACGCCCATCGACGCGGCCAGGGACACGTTCGGAGTAGCAGGGGGCCAGGGGGCGCAGTGCGAGCCAATTGCACGGCACGAAGAGTAGGAGTCGGACTCTTCCGCATCGCGGCAGAGCCGCGACGGGAGATCCTGTTCGGCCCACCACTCTCGGGAGCCACGCTGTGAACAACGACGGATCACTGCATTTGTGGTGCCTCACTGGACTGCCAGCTCCGACGACTCAGAGTGCCCCGCCTGCTCCCGCACGTCCTGCCCCAACACAGGAGGCACCGCTGGTGCAGCTGGAAATTCTTCACGCTTCGCGTATCCCCACCAGCCCATCTCAAAACAGCAACTCTAGCGAAGCATGCCGACAGTCGTGTTTTTCAGGCGTGTTTCCGCCTGCCCCCGCATATCTCCCCTGTTCCTCCTTCCTCCCGCCTCCTTGTACATCCTCCTTGTGGTGGGAGCGGGAGAAGGACGAGGCGGAGGAGGAGGGAGAGAAAGCGCTCCTCGTGGTTTGAGTCGTTCGGGCTTCTCGTCCTGGTGTGAGTCGTTCGGGCCCTTCTTCCTGGTGTGAATCGTTCGGGCTCTTCGTGGTGTGAGTCGTTCGGGCTCTTCGTCCTGGTGTGAGTCGTTCGGGCTTCTCGTGGTGTGAGTTGTTCGGGCCCCTCGTCCTGGTGTGAGTACGACGCCCAGGCGAGTAGAGGGTCGTCCTGATGGGCTTTTCGGCGTCTTGGGTGCCTCGGGGGGGCCTCTTTGGGCCGTTTGGGATCCTCTTGGGGGCCTCCTGGGGGCCTCTTGGGGCCATCTTGGGGCCTCTTGGTGCCTCCTGGGCGCTTCTTGGGGCCATCTTGGAGGAAATCGATCAAAGAAGAGGGGAGCTTTAATTAGCGCTGCCCCCTCAGAAGGCCAAAATGGTGCCAAAACCTTAGTCAAACCAATTATTTTGGCTTGAAAGAAGAGGGGAGCTTTAATTAGCGCTGCCCCCTCATAAGGCCAAAATGGGGCCAAAACCGTAGTAACATCAATGATTTTGGCTTCAAAGAAGAGGGGAGCACTTTTCTCCCCCCCCCCCCGTCGGGGCCAGAATCCTCGTGAGGGGTGTCGTGTTTTAGCCCTCCCAGTAGTCGAAAAAGACCCCTCTGACCACCCGCGAAAGGACCTCTCCCCGAAGGGGAAGAAAGGGGGTTGAGAACAGAGAGAGCTCCCTAAACCACTCACGCCCAAAGGGCTGGTGGGATTTGGACTCGCACGCGCGTTAAATCGGGCATGTCCCTCTACAGGGGGAATATCCAAAAATAGTAGGCATATAGTCTGGGGGCGATGTTTCTAATGTGTTTTTAATATGTTTGAATAGTGTTGGGCTATTTCTTATTTTTCGCCCACAATCCGCCTGTAGGGGGACACGCCCGACCTAAGCCTAGCGAGGTGGAGAGCGTTCGCGCGCGCGCACGCGCGGCCCCGTCTCCGACGATCTGTCGAGGGGATCCACGACTCCTGGAGGGCCAATAGGCGCTGGGTTGTCGGACATCCCGCTGGGTCAGGGGGGGGGGCCAGTGCAGATCCAAGCAATCCGCGCGGGGCGCCACAAGTTTATGTATATGTAGTTTGTTCTTCTTCTAGTATCGGGCATCCCTCTGGGTGTCATCTTGGTGCAGACATCGATCGACTTCTGAACCAGCCAGCTCTCAGACATCTGCCTTGCAGAGGTAGGATCCTCATGTGGTCGCCTTTGAAAAGCATTGGCCGCGCACGTGCAGGAACTGAATTTTCAGGATGTCCGCGCGCGACGTCTCAGCGACATTACCATTCAGCTCATTCGCGCGCGGCTACGTTTTGGGTAAGACTGGCGATGGCAAAACATGCGTCGCGTGAAGGCGATAGTGAAGTTTGGAGTGGAACTTTGCGGGCTTGTACACGAATTGGCATTGAGCCTTCCTCGCGCGTGGACAGCTAAGCATCACATGCATATATTGAAATGAGAACCTGTACGTGTCAGGAGGGAAAAAACACACAGGCACAATTAATCGTCGATTCCCCCCCCCCCAAAAAAAAGAAAATATGGGAAGTGGGGGGGAAGACAAAAACCAAGAACATATGGAACATATGGGGAGTCCTGTTATTTGTATGTATTTATTTGTGTGTCCCAGGGCCCCTTCAACGTGCCTTTTTTGGTGATGGCCAGGACGGATGGTTCTAGACGTGGTCGCCGTCGACTGGCCAGTTGGCGGAGAAGAAATGCGATTTTTTATCTGTTCATCCTGTTGCGCTGCTGCGCGCGATCCCGCCACCGCGCTCGGGCGGGGTCTGGGCGGGGGCTGGCGGAGGAGGAGGAGGAGGAGGAGGAGGAGGAGGAGGAGGAGGAGGAGGAGGAGGAAGAGGAGGAGGAGAGGAGGAGGAGGAGGGGGAGGGGGAGGAGGAGGAGGAGGAGGAGGAGGAGGAGGAGGAGGAGGAGGAGGAGGAAGAGGAGGAGGAGGGGGAGCAGATACAAAGAGCCCCAGACAGCCAGCAGCGCAGGGACTCGGCCTCGAACAAAAAACGAGCGCATGGGGGGGGGGGGGGGGCTCGATGCGTCGGGGGGTGCCCCAGAGATTGAGGAGCGACAGGGCCCGACGCACACCTACCCATCGGTCGTTGGAAGTAGGTATTTTTGGATTCCCAGATTCCAATCTACTGTATGGGATGACAGTCCCGGAGCGCTGCTCCGACGTAGATCCGACGTGGACCCGGCGCAAACTGGGTCTCAAGTTGCCGCGCGGGGCCTCCAGGCGTTCCCTCATCATACGGAGGGGTGGGCACCTCCCCCCCAAAGAAAAACACACATACCCATCGGCCGTTGGAAGAAGGTATTTTTGGATCCCCAGATTCCAGTCTACGTTAAGCGCCTTTCTGCGTCAAGGATCGGGCGGCTTCACCTCTTCCACCCTCCCAAGGGGGCAGACGCGACCCAGTCTATTTCCAACGCCTTCCCACTTCATGTTTCTGCCTACCTCTTCCGACCGATGGGTACCGTTGCAGGCGCGGTGGCGGGCATCTGCACACGTACGCACGCGCATGTCTGTAGAGAACGTCGCGCCTGGCCAGATCGCCCCGCCACGCCCAACCCCCTCCATCCTACAGCCCTCGCCAAAATGAATCTCAAACACTTCTTACGTGGCTGAACTGTTTGTGGGGAGATACAGAGGGGGCGCGCATCAAGAAACCATATGCGTTTCGTCAGGGTTTCCTGGGTTTCTTCGCTCCTCGCGCTGCGCGGTGACATCCCGCAGCCGTTGAAGGAGCTGCTGCGTTCAGGGTGCTCTGGGTTTCCCCTCGGGTGTATCTCGCACGCGGGCTCTCCGGGTTGGGTTTCTTGCGAGGGTTTCTTGCGGCCGCGCCCGCACTGTACTGGACAGAGTAGCGATGCTTGCGAGGTACTTGTATGCTGCGCCCCTCCAAATGTCGGTCATCATCGAACTTCCGAGCCGTTCCGGGTCAGACCACTCTTGCCCTGGCTCTCCGACGTTGGACAGGCGTCTATCGACATTGAATGGCGCGCCGACCTCGCAGGGACGTGGTCGCCATTTTCCGGATAATTTTGACGAGGGTAGTAGAGCACAAAAGTTGGCGCTGGCACACTTCGATCTTTGGACTGGCGCGCGCTCCCACACGGCCAATGGAAGACGTTCGTGGGCGGGGGGGGTGCCTTTGGCCAGGAGCCCAGTGTGCCCTGCAAGTTGGATCGGGCCGCTCGGCGGCCAATAGTCTATCATAGGCCTCTCGACTGTGCCGCGTTAGTTGCGGCGAGACATGTAGAACTTACCCAGAAGTCGATACAATCCCTCTCTCCATCCTGCATCCCGCTGCCCTCTCCTCCGTCCTCTTTGCCCTCTTCCATCCCTTTCTTCCGTTTCCCCTCCCATCCATCCCCCTTCCCTGTTCTTACGACCAAAGCATAAGGGTGGCAAGTGCTTGATCGTGTTGTGCGCAGGCAATTCGAGAGCATCGCAGATATTCAGTAGACCACAGCTGGCTGAAATCGGTCGTCTCGTTGATCATCGAATTGGGGTGTGTCCGAAGGAAGGTAAGTTGTGGATTGCGCGTTGCTACACACTGTCAGGGCTGAAAGCGACAAAAGGAATGATAGGCACAGCTGCTTGGTAGTAGCCGATGAATCCAAGTACTACGAAACTATACCTCTTGAGGACCTTCGGAACAAGTTTCTGAGCCTTGCAGTCTCCACGGAGTCCCTGAATATCGTTTATAATGTTGGGAAGGGTGTCAGGGTCCTGAGGTTTGGACAGCATCATGCACAGTCGGTGCCTTGTCCTACCCTGAAGCTCCCCGCGAAAGATTGCTTCAACGATAGATCGACCAAGATTTATGTTGCGCAGTTTCGATACCTACCTCTGGAGACCACTAACTGTATTCTCTGATGACACTGCAAAAGGAGTCGTCAGGACGGATCGTGGCATCACCCGTGGCGTGGCAGTGTCAGCGGGCACAGATGTTGCCAGATGTTTAGTTGAGTTCAGAGCGACTTTGAATGAAAAGGATGCTGTCAACGCTCAGGAGGGTTGTCTTGAGTTAGATTTCGGAACAACAAAGCGTTGTTACTACCAATGTAACTTGAGTTGGAGTCGATCACTCTTATTTCATTTCACGAGACACGCGAGGCTCTGCTGCACAAAACAAGCGGCAGTTGTTCCAAGATGAGAGTGAGATTTTGACAGCAAGAGCGTTTGTCCCGTACCTTGGCCAAGAGTGTTAGGAGATCTGTTACCAGTGTTCTGGTCACGGGAGTTTCGACGGGTGCCGTGTTTGCCACCGAGGTTCAGAGAATAAGCGATTCTGAGTGGTTGTTGTTTCGCAGGTTGCAGGCTGCAGGCTAGAGTCAATTCCCCACACCACGGAGGGACCAGTTTCAGAGCGATGTTTTTCAGAACGCTTGATCAGCGCCAGCCCTCCAGTGGAGCATAATGTTCTGGGTTGCCAAGTCTCACCCTACCCGAGCACACTGTTCGCAAAGTACCTTGAGCAGGATATGGCGCGAAGCTTGCGCCAGTCAAGCGACAGCCTGGAACAAGCAGCAGAGGCCCCCACCCCAGAAGAGCGCATCTCGCAGCTCGTCGTGCAGGTTGGGAGGCAAGCCAACGAACCATACCACTGGCGAGATCCTAATGGACTGGAAGTGAACATTGCAGTGCAACCCCATGCCAAGAAGCACCCTGCTTGCTTCCAGGGTGCCCTGAGTTTCTTAGGTTCCGATGGCTCTGCTGATTGGTAAGCGTAACGCCCCTACACCTAAGATCGATTGACGCCCTGGGGTCGCAGGGCTGGGTTTCTTGGGGATGTGCTCTTGTGGTTGAGCTCCTTCATTCCCCTCGGCCGCGTCCCTCCTCCCTCCTCCTGCTGCATGGTGGCACAAAGCGGCCCAACGGTACCCTCGTTCATGCCATTCATCGCCAGCGCAATCACCCTCTGCCCCGCAGTAGACGGAGCCAAGGCAGAGCCAGCGTTTCCAGCAGAGGGTTTGTTGCAAGTTGCCGAAGCAACTCACATTTTTATGTGTTCGAGCGGGCTGACCGAACATCACCTTGGCGAACCCCCCAACCCCCACCCCCTTTTGCCGATACTTTCTTGCCAACTCACTTTGGCGAGCCCCCGTCCCCCGACTTCTTCAAGTGGCGTTTGCGCATTGGGGCGCAATTGAGAAGAGATCCCGCAGACACCCGAGAAGGTTGGAAGCCTTTTAGGAGGTCGCCCTCTCATGGAGTTTGTTGCGTATGGCTTTCACACGAAGCAACCCCTCTGGATCCTTAGGCGTGCTGCGTGGGTCATAGCACCCTCTTAGAAGTTCACACAGACATCCTCCTGGCGATCTTGAGATGCCCTGTTGCGGGTTCCCTTCCTTAGACCCCAGCCTTCGCTAAGCATATCGGATATGCCCTTCCCGGGCAGACCCAGGATCGGGAAACCCATGCAGGTTGAGATTGTGCGGCAGTAGTTGCCCACGGTCAGTGGGGGGGGGCCTGAAGCACCAGATGACGTTAAACGTCAAGTGTGCTGCTGTGATGTTGTTTGATCACCACTGGGACAACTAGCATTTCTGTTTCCAGGCATGCCAAAGCTTACCGTCGCGACGGTACCACCAACCAACCCGAGCGGGTGAGTTTAGATTTACGGTTGCGAAAACCGTTGTGGTTTCGAGCATGTTGCGATAGTTCCCAGCACGCACCCAAGCCCAAACCCATAATTGTTTCTTAGGCTTGTGTTGGCTTGGCACAGAAGAGGTGCAACCATTTCTTCACGTTGGCAGCAGCAGTTCCCTGCGTTTCCAGAACAAGAGACGGCGGGCAAGGCCCCCATCCCGCAAACGTGGTCTGGATAAGAGAACCCTGAGTTTTTACAGTTGGGCCCCGTCGTTTGCAGGTATCCATTGCAGCCTTTTTGTTCCTGAGAGCTGACCAGGAGCAGCCGCCGCCCAAAAGCGGCTGCAACGGGAACCCACCGATGCTACGGTTGTGCAGGGCCCCCGAGAAGCTTAATTTGTTGCGGTCAAGGGTTCAGGTTCCAACAGTTCGGCCCATGGGGGTTGCATTTATTCCGTCCATCTGTTTCTATGCGTCCAGCACGGTGGCTGCCCTGACGGGTGACGGGCCAAGCTGGGCAAATTTGTCTCCCACCCACCCTGAAAAAAGGAGTCGATATGTT